GACAACATTACTGTTTCTTTTTACATAAGCAGGGATCATTCTTGATACTTTCCCGCAGAACGAAGTCAAGTATTATCTAACTATACACCAGTACATCCATCCCTAAGAGGAAAACCACGTAGGATTCTATTCTAACACATGGATTCAGACCAAGCAGATCAAATCATGCTCTTCAACAAAAGAAATCCATGCATCTTAAACTCTAAAGGCCATTTGTGTTCCCTCTCAACCAAGCGAACCTTACTACTTCTTGCCCACATGGAGTCCTATTCTTTGCAACTTCCTTGCTTTACCTATTTTAAGTTTTAAAATGCTTTACGTTGCAAGTCTGCAAGTTCCTTGAGATCTATTTAGAATTAGTTAGGGCAGCAGTTGGATTAGCCTGAAGCAGACCTCGAGGGTCAAGATGGATATTTGAAGAATTGGTCCACTGGGATATAAACATAAAGGTATACTTTCAGTATGGAGATCAGTCTGTGAGAGGAAAGAGCATGTAACATTAAAAAACCAACTAAGACTATGATGCAGTGAGTTCTAAGTGGAGGAGGGATGGCAGAGGCAGTGAGAACTGGGGACTCTGAGAAGCAGGTTAGAGGTCTCTGTTCATAGGAACACAGGCACATCAGGAAGAGGAAGGACAGTACCAACTTCCCAAGCAGCCAATAAGATACTGACCCAAGTTCCTTCTATCTCCTCCTCCAGCTGAGGCAGAAGTAGTTCAAGGCTACAGCTCACAGACATGGGGGTTGAGTAACCCCGATTTCAAAGGTCAGCATGATACGGAGTCAGGGATACCTGTAAGTCACTGTAAGTAAAGGTTATGTCTTTCATAGCATCTCACACAGCTCTTGACACAGACTAGGAATATTGTGAGCTGTTACAATGACTCCCTGTGTTAATGTTATAAACGCTTTCATTGCATTGAATGTCTTTAGGTTGTACATTTACATCAGTATCTCCCTAAATTCTTAAATCTGGTGCTCACTTCCAAACAATGGCTAATGTTACACATGTAGCATTTGCCCAAATTCCTTACCAATCCTTTGAACTATGTCCTCTGTTGTCCCCATACTGTCACAAGCAACCATTGTCATATGTTCCTTCCTGTATTTGAAGCTGGTGCTTTACCTAGAAAGATTTTTTTTCTCAGTTCTTTGTAGGACAGGCTGTTTGTTCTCACATAACCCCAGGGGTCTGGAGTTAACACTGGCCCCCTCTTAGCTCTCTGTTGCTAATTTTAGGTTATTATACTTTCTTTCTTTTAAAGTAATCTCTATACCCAACATGGGGCTCGAACTCACAACCCCAAGATCAAGAGTTGCATGCTTTTACCAACTGAGCCAGCCAGGTGCCCCATACGCTATTATACTTTCAAAACACTCCTCCTTGGATGCCTTGACACCTGCCTAGACTATCCCCTATTTGTCTTTATAGCTGTTACCTTCAGACCTCATGGTCACTCTAACACATAATGGTCCTCAATATTGGCCATGCATTAAAATAATCTGGAAAGTTTTTGAAATCTACCTATGCTGAGATCCTACTGCAGACCAATTCAATCACTTTGTGGGCATGGGGACAGGCATCAGTATTTATTTTTTCAATTTCTTAGGTGATTTCAGTGTGAAGCCAAAGGTGAGTCATCTGTTCTAACACAAGAATCAAGGACTTCAGCTCTTGCCTTCCCAGTGTCCAACTCTTACAGCCATCGGAGAACTTTAAAATCCAAGAGAACAACCTGTCCACCACTCTGGGTCCTAATTCCTTGGCCAGTTCAATTTGAGTAATGTGTCCTTCAATTGCACTTCAGCTCTAATATACACTCTGTGAATTTAGCAGAACCTCAAGTTGCCTGACATCTGAAGTACTGAATAAGTAAAAGGATCTGTGGACTTACAGGCCATAGTTCCAGCTTGTTAGCTCCTTTAGTGTATGACACCCTGCCTCCACCTGGGTGTGCATGGCTTCCTGCAACTATCCAGAGAAGCCTGCTTTCTAAGGCGGCCAGTCTTCTGATTCCATGCCCTTTCCAATCTGGCAGACCCTCCGTGGCGTGTCTGTCACTCCAGTGACTCTCTTAACAACAGGATCAAGTCTCTTATCCTCTTGTGCTTGATCATATTCACAACTGCCTCAACTATGTGTCATACCAAATATGCCTTCTCCACTGCTAAGTACTGAAGAAAAAAAATCCAACTACACAGAATTACGCCCCCTACATTTTTACAGTATCCAAACAGCAGCTCTCAGCACTATTCATGAACCTGTGCATGTCCCTAACGAGCTCCTGTTTCTACTGCCTTTACAGGTGCTCTGATGGTCACTATTCTTCCTAACTTCTTTGACCCTCCCTTTTGAAGTGGACCTCCGGTTGGTTTTGGAGAACATAACGATATCCTTAATTTCTAGACTTCTGCTCTATCAACATCTCTGCATCCCTCACGAGGGGGCACTGCTCTAAGTTCAGCACTACTGACATTTTTGGCCAGATAATCCTTCAGTGGGGTGGGGGTGGTCCTGTGCATTCTACATGTTTAGCAATATCTATGACCTCCACCCATTAGATGCCAGTAGTATCCCTCCCACATGCATATATTTGCAAAAACATCCCCAGACATTGCCAAATGTCTCCTGGGAGGCAAAATCACCCTAGGTTGAGAACCCCTGCTCTAAGCCAAGACTAATTTATCAACCTGTCCTTCTGATAAAAACCTCTTGCTTCCTCCAAGATCCATGTGTGCTTTCTTTATCTATCTCCAACCTGAACTGCTCCATTGGTTTTATCTCCCTAGTATATAAATTTCCATGTCATTCCACTTAAAAAGTCATCCCTGTGTGTCACCCATAAGTCACTGTGTGACTTTTTTTTTCTCCAGGTGAAGCTCTGGGAATGACTTCCATGAGCTCACTTGCTGAAGCTCCATTCTACTCTCCAAACCTCGGCATACCAGCATCAATCACTGACATTTCTGCACGGGTGCTAGAGTTCTCCTGCTCACTATATGCTCACACACACTCACTGACTGTCTCCGACACTACTAACTATACCCTCCTTGAACCTCTCTTCTCCCCTGGTTTCCAGGGCACTTTTTTCTGGTTCTTCCTTCCACTTTGATTATTCTTTCTTAATCTCTCCTCCTCCTCAGACTGTCCCGGAAATACTAGTGTTCATTTGGGATTCTGTCCCTGGCCTTTCTCTCAGAACTCAACAATGTTTGTTTTCTGGGCTATCTCCTTCATTACAGGCTTTGAGGCTTCCTGCTATAATATATAATGAATACACTAATTACTCCCCATGTGATCTGAAGCCCTACCTTTTCTCAAATTCCAGTCCTGCATGTCAGACTCCCTAGGGAATATTTCTACCTGGGAGCACTACAGACACCACTAACCAATCAAGATACATAAAATTGAAGTCACAGCCTACTCCCTACCATTGCCTTTCCCTAGATCCCCAAATCTTCCTTATTCTTTTATTACTTCTGGATACCACCATCCATTCAGTTGTATAATGAGCCAGGGCTTTAGCATAATATTCCAATTTCCCTAGTCATATCCAATCATAAAATCCTTTTATTTCAATGGTTTCCTAATGAATTTCCCTGACTCAGGTCTTAGATATCTCTAATCCAACCACTATGTTGCCACCTGAGAATGTATTTTTAACATGCAAATCTGTCCATGTCACTCCCTGGACTACCTCCTCTAGGGGATCCCCTTTGTCTGAAGGATTTACAACCTAAGCATCTCAGCAGAGCACACTAGGCTCTCCATGGCCTGGCCCTTGCATTTCTCCTGGCCCTTGCATTGGCTCCTAAGCTCCCCAAGCAGCACCAACCATACCATATCACACCTTTCTCAAGTTATTCCTTCTGCTAGAATGTCTTTTTCTAAGATTATCTACAGAGCATATGCTTTTTCATCCTATAAACCTATAAGCTCAAGCATGACCCCCTCTGGAAACTCTTCCTGGACTTCCCGGGGCACATTTAAAAGGTTTCTTCCTGGGTGTTCCTAACCCTAACCCAGTGCGTTGTGCACATATCTTCGTTTTAGTTCCTGCCAGAGACCGCTGGAATTGCCATAGTCACCCACCAGCCTGCAAGCTCCTGATGGGCAAGTGCTTTGCCTACTCAATCCTGTTTCAGTGAGGACTAATAGAATGCCCAGCATGGAAGGAAGCACTCAATAAATATGGCTAAATGACTGAATGACACATGAGAGGTTCAACTGTCAAAACACTCTCCCGGGGAGGGTGGGGGGGAACCCAACTGTATCGTGACATGGTATTCGTATATGTCAATTCAAGGAGTCAAGAAGTGAAGTTATTCAGCCTAAGGCAAGAGCTAATGTTACATAATAAAATAAGTTTAATAGGTAATATATATGATGGTACAGTGCTTATTAAGCTTTTCTACCAAAGTACTGCTATCATCAAAAGAATACTGACTGATACCCCTGCAGGATCTGATGGCACAGGCTAAAAAACAGGACATTTCTCTAGCTAATATATCCATATTCATTTTAACTTGAAAACATTTCTGAATTACTAGCAAGTAAGAGGAATGCTCCGGGAAAGTAGCACATGCTTATTCTGTGGGCCCTGATGACCTTTAGCATTGCTGCGCACTCCTCAGGTGGCGTTGATGAGAGTGCCGGCATCACAGTTTAGAAACAAGTGTACACTGGAAATAGCTCACACTTCAAGTCACAAGTTCCACTCTGGCTCCATGCTCCATCACTTAGGCTATGACTTGGGGTCTACTTTAATCTCTCTGAGCCTCCTTGGTTTCCTTATCTGGAAAATGGCTATAATAATATTATAATAATAATTATAGAAATAATATTTGCCTTATATATTCCATAATGTTGGTGCCTATATTAAAAGAAATAATAATGTAAGCAATGAGATATATAAGCATGAAAAATGAAGTAATATTTTATACAGAGAGAGCGAAAATTAAAGTTCATACGCAATCCATATTCATGAAAACATTTACCTTTTGAGGAGCTGAAGAAGGTTTTTCCATTTTGGTTTTTTCCTTCGGGGTTAAAGGAGGGGATCGCTCCTTTATCTCTGGAGGCAGTTCTTGATATAATGCTGGAATTGAACAAGGAGTACACATAATCAAACTGAGGCGCACTGACCCGTGGGGGAAAATAAACAGTGATGGGAGAAGGGGGCAGATATGAAACTAAAGATCTTGATATTCACTTCCTTTGTATAACAATACGCTACTTGGCACTTAGTGTTAGGGCGATCTATTATAACACATTAGTTATCAAAACAACATAATTTATGATTGGAAAGTTTTCATCAGGAGCATATTATGTGGTCATGCCGATACTTGCTTATTTTATCTCAATTCACAGTCACCAGCAACCCGCTCTCTGCAAGGTTATCTGCTAGGTACTGCTGGAGGAGACAGAAGATGCTCAAAAGATAGTCTCTGCTCTCAAGGAGCTTACAATCTGGTCAGAAACAGACATGTTCACAAGTGAGTGTAACATGCAGTAGAATGTGGCATTATTCAAAAGAGAGATAACAAAAACAGATTCTAATATGGATAGCAAATGCTCAATGCAAGAAGTGGTAGGTGTGTCAGGCTCCGAAGAACAAGTAGGATTTTTGCCAGGCAGAGGTGTAGACAAAGAATAATTTGGGAAGATGGTACAAAATAAATGAGCACGGGGCTAGGGCTACACATAACCTTGAATCTGTTCACAGGGTCGAATCTGAGATTATAATTCATATAATCTAATTACTCTACACAAAGTATGGACTCTAAAAAGTCATTTGGGAATTTTCAAGGACTAAAAAGAAAATGTGTTTCAGTTAAATGACAACTCTGGGCAACTCTGAATTGAGAGAAATTGGTAAAATACACCTGATTGCTATTCTATAATTCTAAGATATATTAATTGGCTTTGTGTATGGGTTGATTTTATTATTAGCTTCCTTTATCTCTTATTGGAAAGGATGTTAGATGTCATTAAGTGAAGCTGTTCATGTTTTTCTTTCTGGTGGCTTAAGATACAAAAGAAGTTCTTTATAATGATGGGGGGACTTCTACTGTGTTGTTCTCTTAGAGGACATGGCTTTCAACTGAATGGTTGATAGAGAGTCTGTTTACATCTATACACTCCCTTAGAGCATTTGCTTTGCATATTTGGCTTCAGATAAAGGACAATTTCTCCTACTATTTTTAGAGTGGAATATGCTGCTGATGGTTTCTTTTTTCCCCCCCTCATGTTAAAACTGAGCAGGTGAGTTTTTGTTAAATTCAGGTTATAAAGTAGGATAAAAGGGAAAAGAAGATAAGCCCCGATGAAGTGAGAATTCAACCATTATATTCTCAGGTTTTCTGAGAATTCTTTGTTCTGGCCTTTAAAAGGCTTTTTCAAGAAGCAGTGACCGATGCCACAAGAAAGTATTAATTCTTCTGGGATACAGTAAGGAATTCTGGTAGTCGGAAGATGGTCACTACTTGAAACATGGAATTAATTTCTGCATGCGGCCACCAAGCATCATTGCGGTACGCTTTAGAAGTCACACTTTGGTTATTATGGGGAAAAAAGCTAATTTCAACGGATTTTTAACCCACTGTGGATAAGTATCTATAGCCTCTCAAGATTCATAAGCCTAAGAGGTTATTTCTGCAAACTAACTAGATTCTAAAGTTAAAAATTTAATACTATCCTCCCTGGAAATACACACATCATCTTTATACTGTCTAAGGAAAAAAGAGTCTAAACGTTTCCACTCGTGTCTGGAACAAACAATGGACTGTAATATTTAGTGAAAATTACAGACAGTCTGGAGGAGCGACTATGATTGTGCAGGCAGCTCTCTCGATTTGAAAATGGAAGCTACTCCTGCTGAACTAGAGCTACTGAGCCAGTGGGAAAGCCTCACGGGAAGGGGAGGGAAGAAACTGGGACATGTGAGGCGACCTGGAAGTGACAAGTACCGAGCTTGTGAAAAATGACCGGGAATTAACTTGCCCTAAAATGTCTTCCTTCCACATTGCCTTAATTTTTCTCCATTACGTATCCTCTTTTGAACATTAAAAATAGCTTAAGAGCTCTCATCATTTACTACTCAGAGAAGAATTGTAACAGTGGCATGGAGGAAATGAAGAATTTTGTTACGAGGGAGAGAAGTGGGTAATTTGAGACACTTAGCACTTTTGAGGGGAGGAGTTTGCTGAAAGCAGCAGATAAGCTGAGGGAAAGAGCTGCAGAGACAGGGTGCCCTGGAGAATCGGGGGGGGGGGCCTGGAAAGTACCAGGGTGCAGACGGGGGGGTGGGTGCAGAAAGAGAACTAATTTCATCTGTGCCTAGCCCACCACCCAGTACTCATGGAAGAAATTATTCTTCCCGTTTTCATCTCTTTTGCTTTCAAAATTCAGAACTTAGGTTAGGAATCAATCGCACTTTTGTTCAGCTAGTTTGAGTTAAATGGGGCTTCACAGACAAGCCTGAAAGTCAACTGTTATTTATAATAATTTCTTCTTTGCAGAAACAAAAGACTTAACAATAATGATTCAAAATGGAGTATTCTCAAGGCTGCCTATACTACATTTTAAACCAGAACTATACAATTTCAGTGTTTCTGGAAGGAAGCTTAGAGGTGACAGAGCTCAACTTCCTCATTTTACAGGAGGAAACTGAGGGATATCAGTATTAGTACCGCATTTTCCTGACCTTTTGAGTACTGGGCTTTCCTACCACACTCCTGAGGGAACTGTTACTAGGAAGCATTCTTCTGAGGAAGCACTGCTATACTTCTCCCCTTTCTTCAGTCTTCAAGCTATTTTATCTCCAGGCTCTCTGCATCAGTTCTATCTGCATTTCTCAAGGCCTGGTAGTAAATCTACAGCTCTCACCAACTCCTGTTTAGAAGTTCTCCTCCAGGTCATTTCTTTGGTCTTTCACAAATGGGGACCTGATTTACCTGAGAATGAAACAATCAACTGCAGGTCTGTTTTAACAGGTTCCAGCTGGAACTGAGGCATACAAAGTCAAAGGACGGGACTTGGGGTACTAGAGGTTCTGCCGGGCCAGTCGGCTGAGGAGTCACTGCGGCCAGAGAACAGCCAACATAACTGTGTGGAGCAGGCGGGGGGCAGAAAGGGCTGAAGAATGTTGGCGGCCAGACAGGCAGGGCCCCCGGGATAAGTCTGTGAAGCAAATAGTCCAATCTCAGATTGGAGTAGCTTTCTAGTGTATTACTGCCCCCTCTTTTTTATGTATGTATGTATTTTATTTTTGCATCACAAGAATGAAAAGCAATACCCATTGGTAAACATAAGCAAAAGGGTAAATTAAGTAAATTAAAGGGTAGCAAATGATAAAATCTTGGACTATCAGTTATACCATATTAGTAAACCAGGAAGGGAGCATAAAACTTACTTTCACTAGCCACATGATTAGCTGGAAAATAACCTTCCTGTCCCTTTCCTACGCTGCCATACCACCAGTCTTCATTATCTTTGAAAAACACTCGGATAATGTCTCCGCGATGGATGGTTAGTTCATCTGATCGATTCGCTGTGTAGTCATAAAGAGCCACTACCTACGAGAGAGATAAGACCACCACAGCTTTATCACAACTGTACCACAGAGAAAACCCCCAACATTCACTTCCTCTTGCAGAAGAGCAGCTGAAACCAAAGCAGTACTTTGGTAAGTCTGAGGCTGTCTCAAGGCTTGCTAATGGGATCAGGGGTGGTGGGAACACAGCAGGAGAAGCAAGATAAAAGACTGTGGGATTGAGAAATGGTTAAGAGCATTCAATACACTAAGATTAGCTTCAAAATAGCAGATGTTAATTTTTTTACAAGTGAATTACTTGTGAAGCAAATAAAAAAAGGCTCACACACCATTCACTTTCTTAGAATTGTTTTATACTACCTTTAGATCCCATTCTCCCATCTCTAAGCAGATGTACCTGAAAAAAAATTCTTCTGAATGTCAACAATTTTATAAAAAGGAAAGAGCAATGAAATAACCTGATTACATAACTTCATTGTGATCACTTGGTTAACTGTTAATGTTTCTTTTTAACATATATTTCCCCACAAACACATGCTTTTTGGTATTTTATATCAACAGCCTAAATCTTTTGACTACTTTTAAAATACTCTTATTAAGGTTATTTTCACTAGATACAATTTTAAGAGGAAAAGCCTTTCTATAAGAACTCTCTTCTCTGTATTGTAGTCACTGTATTTGATTTTTTTCCTTTTTTAAAAGCTAAAAGCAAAATGAGTGCACAGAAACTTAAGAAATTCCTTATAGCAGTTATAAGGGGGAGGCAGACCTTAATCCATTTTATATGTCATGCATTGTATAATGTAAGACATAGTATGTACACTAAAGAATAAACTACTTCTTTTCCTACTTAAATGGGATTTGAAAATTAACAGGCGTTGCCTGGGTGGCTAGCGGGTTAGGTGTCTTAACTCTTGATCCTGACTCAGGTCTTGATCTCAGGGTGGTGAATTTAAGCCCCACACTGGGCATGGAGCCTACTTAAAAAAAAAAAAAAAAAAAAAATTAACAGGTTATACAACTATAATGGAATGGAAATTTATCCATTTCCATTTTTTTCCAATTTATTACATTTCCATTAAATGTAATGGATAATTATCATTACAATCCTTTGCATTTAGGTTGAGTACTAATTCATTTACTTAACAAGTATTTACTGAAATCCTAACGTGCCTGGTACTAGGCTAGGGGCTAAATATAGGATCCTTTCTAGAAGGGTTACCTCATTTAGGCTCTGCAGGAGAATAAAGCCTAATCAGGAATTGGCGAGGAGAAGAGATGGAAAGCGTGTCTCAGGCAGACTGTACTGCATGTTTCAGAGTCCAGGGAAGAGAATCCCAAAATAGTTCAAATTGGTGGGAGCCTGAATTAGAGGTAAGAGCCCAGCTAGCCAGGTGGGGGAAGGTGAGGCTGCAGGGGTAAGTAGGGACTGAAGGAACATGCATGCTGCAGGAGCCCATACTCATACTATGGGCAATGGGAAGAGACAAGGGTTTTAAGTAGGAGATGCTGTAACAGTTCACAAAACTCTGGATGGTGCCTTTTAATTAATTTACAATATTTATTAACACATTAACCAGGAAATTTTAATGGATAAATCTGGAATTACCTGCTGTCACGAAATGGTGTTATTTATTTTATTTTTTTAAAAGATTTTATTTATTTGAGAGAGAATGAGAGAGAGAGAGAGCACGAGAGGGAAGAGGGTCAGAGGGACCCGGGACTCCAGGATCATGACCTGAGCTGAAGGCAGTCGCTTAACCAACTGAGCCACCCAGGCGCCCACGATATGGTGTTAGAGCAGTAATAATAATTCAAGTCAGATATGGTACAACTGCCATTCCAACTGTACTGCTTAGAACAGTCTATAATTCACAACATGTTCTGCAGGATGTTGTTTCAAGTTTACAAATACTTGTAATTTTGAGTGTATTGATGTCAAATCATTTAGGTAAAAGCGGAACTTTTAATTCTTCCCTTCCTTCTTTTGTCTCCAAACCTTTTCTCCTTTATTCTCCTACTTGGAACTATCACAGAAGAAGAAAGCTAATGAATATGTTCTGAGTGCCTGCCACGTTCTAGGTACAGTGCTAGTGGCTTACGTGAGTGCTGACACAATCTGCAGGACAATCCTGTGACGGCATGAATTCTTATTCCAATTTCATAAATGAGGAATTTTATGCACAGAGAAATTTAGTAATTTGACTAAAGTCAACTATGAGTTACACTTTTTATTTTTTCAAAACTACATACATTTATAGGACATCTCAGTTTAGAATCAAACATGGGGAAGCAGCAGCAGAGAGGATGGGAGGGACAGAGATCCTAATCCCTCATGAAAGATCAGACACGTTTTTGGGTGGCACCACTTAAGCGGTTGGCTGTGCTGACAGGACCAACAATCCTGGGTCACCTGCAGGCCCACTGTGCTCCTTCCAGACACCTGCAACCCAGTCCTAGAAAACTGTAAGGATCTGCCCCTGCTGTTCCTCATCCTGGTTCTGGTACATGGAAACAGCACGGCTCTGATGAATCTTATGGAAGTAGGAGTCCGTGTATGCTTATTTCTCTGGACTCAGAGGTGGCTGCTAGGAAGAAGAGCAAGAGAGATTCAGCTTAGGCAAGAGAACCGTTCAGGAAGTCCCACATCAGGCTTGTGTCCTTGGGTGGACTTTGATAATGTGGAATTCATCAAACTGAAGTCAGAAAACCTCTTCTACCAGGGTCAGGTGATAAGAGTTCCTTCAGAGGTACAGGGGTCCAAAGGACCTACAAGCTCCTAGATTTCCATTTTCCTATTAAAGTATCCACGGATTACCCGCCTCATAATACAATCAAGCATAGCACACCAGTTCTACATGGTCTTCCAGTCCTGGTAAATACGTTCCACCCTCTACAACCCTGCTATGGACTGAATTGTATGCCCCCCCCCCGCCCCAAATTCATAGGTTGAAGCCCTCACCAGGTGACTGTATTTGGAGATAGGGCCTTTAAATAGATACTTAAGGTCAAATGAGGTCTTATGGGTGGGCCCCTAATCCAACAGGACTTGTGTCCTTATAAAAAGGAGGAAATAGCAGAAGCACAGCCAACCGTGCACAGAGCAAAAGGACACAGGAGGACACAGTGAGAAAGCAGCTGTCTGCAGGGCCAGGAGAGCGGTACAAGAGAAACCAACCCAGCAGGCTACTTGATTTTGGACTTCTAGTTTCTGGAACTGTGAGCAAATCAATTTTTGTTGAAGCCCTCAGTTGATGGTACTTTGTTACAACGGTCCTGGCAGACTAATACAGTTCTACAACCTGATGGTGTCAGATGAATCACACTCTACCGCCTGTCATGGCACCGCCACTCATCAATACCTCACTTCTAGCCATTTTAGGCCCTTACCAGCTTACAGTACTGTGTCCAACCCTATTATAATATTATCTCCTAATGTAGAAACAACGGCCTTGTCACCAACATCCTTAGGAGGGTGATGGTTGGGAGGCTACACCCCTCCAAGCGAAGGAGCAGTGTTTGGAGGACGTCCTCATTGTACCATTCCTGACAATGTAAGTGCACAATCGCTACACGGTGAGGAATCGGTGTGCTTCACATGCCAAGTCTACATTCTGGCAGTGGAGTTACGACCATTCCTTCATGATACTGGAGGTACATGACAAAAGCCACGTGGCTTATGATAACCTGCTTATATTCCAGTGTGTGTTTTCATCCAACATGCCATCTCATTTGAGGACCACTTACTCTCTTTGAGCATCTTAGTATACACAGTAAACTTCTTTGCTTATTTTGATTTGCAGTGGATTCTGCATAATTGCCTTCCCCATCTGCAATTACATTTTGTTACAATCTCATTGTTTTAGGGTAAAGTAAAGCTCCATAAAAAAGTTGGGAGGGGTGCCTCAGTGGACAGTTGGTTGAATGTCTGACTCTTGGTTTCAGCTCAGGTTGTGATCTCAGGGTCATTAGATGGTGCCCTGCATGGGGCTCTATGCTCAGTCCGATTGGGATTCTCTCTCTTCCCCTGCCCCTCCCGCTCATGCTCTCTCTCTCAAATAAATAAATAAATAAACCTTTAAAAAAAAGCTGGGAGATACAATCCCATCAAGAGGTTTGTTTTAAATTAATACTGTATCTATTTTTTGTCTTCTGGTAGGTCTTGTCATGTGTCTTGACCATTCTTGTGATGAGTATCTTTTATAACGTACCACACAGTGCTCTGGCACTTATGTGACAGAATGTCCTCAGTGATATCTTTGAGCTGACACAGGAGTTATGACATCATTCTGCAAAAGAAGTTCAAAAACATTCATTTATGTGCCCACGTTGGTAATGACAGGTCTGGGAAATGGTCAAATTTTGTCCACAATTCACATACTTGAAACAGAGTTCCTTCTTCTCCACAAAGCTTGCCGAACTGCTTGGGGGCAGTCATGAGGGAAGTGGCACTGCGAGCTTTTTTATTTATTTATATACATACATATATATATATATTATTTCCTGACATTCATTTTTCAGTCTTCAAAGCAGTGCTTGCCAGAGACAATTTCTTGGTTTAATAAAGCAAAGTCTGCCAGGCTGTTATAAGACATTTAGGTGAATTCTTCTTTATATTATCTTCTGAGAGATTTTTTCATTATTATTGTTGTCTCTGAAGAAGTCTCAATGGTTCTTGAAACCAGTGTACTGAAGGAACATTAACCAGTATCGTTTAGCAGCAGAGGTTTCTTGCAACTTCAACTATAATATAATCTAAGAATCAATATTCATAATGGTCCCAAGTCATTCAACAGGCTGTTATGTTGAATAAACTCAGACACCTGAGTACTTTCTCCTCTAGTACTGACTGCTTCAGCTGGGTCTATGGTCACTGGGGAACTTCTTTGTGCCAGGCTGCAGCCAATGTGCATCTGGATCCCACCACCTTCCCTCTGCTTTCTTCCTTGCTTAACTTGACTTCAGACTTCTGGCCTCTAGAACAGTGAAAGAACGAACTTCTCTTGTTTTAAGTCACACCAT